GGGGAGTGGGGGCTGGTGGGTTAGAGCAGGGGGCTGGGAGCCAGGACTCCTGAGTTCTCTCACTGGCTCTGGGAGGGAAATGGGGTCTGGTGGTTAGAGCAGGGGGGGCTCAAAACCACAATGACTTAACCAGCAACAAGCCAGCTCCAAATATGTGTATATATATTTTTTAAATCCACCACCTCCCAATCCCAACCCGACCGGATGCCTCCCAGGTCTCTCACCTTTATAGTGCGCAGCAACAGGTTTTGAGCGAGGCCTCTTCCCCCTGGACACTGCCGAATACAAGCAGGGAGAATCGCACTTACCTTTATGCCATATGGGTCTCATGACACACACGGGCGCTATATGGTGAGCTGCCACTAGGGGGCAGCATTACATGGAGATGCATATGCAGACAACCACAGAATCCACCCGCCCTTGCTCTGACCTACCAGCCCCCACTTCCCTCCCAGAGCCCGGGAGAGAACCCAGGAGTCCTGGTTCCCAGCCCTCCCTGCTCTAACCCACCAGCCCCCACTCCCCTCCCAAAACCGGGGAGAGAACCCAGGAGTCCTGGCTCCCAGCCCCCCCCATGGTGGGGAGGGAACCCAGGAGTCCGGGCTGCCAGCCCCCCTTTGCCGGGTTGAGGACAATGCTGGGGGTTCACTCACCCGATCTCCTCTCCCGCGGTGCTTCCTCTTGGTCCAGGTGTTGCAGGAACCAGCCCTGGGGGCTGCGGCCAACAGGGGGCACCAGCTGGGGGGGGACAGTTGAGTGAGGAAAGGGTTAATGGGGGTGTGTAAATGACACACACACAGCCCCCCTGCAGCCCCCCACAATCTCTGTGTTGCAGGAGCCCACCCCCCTAAATAATACACCGTCTTGGGGGGTGGGAGCCAGTCCTGGCTGGGAGGGGCCCAGTCTCAGGAAGGGGGGAGTAGCGGGGGCAGCGGGAAGTTAGCCCATCTCTGTTCATGGCCCATATCCCTCAGGGCGGGGGGATGACCCAGTCTCCCCCACCTCCCTCCGGGGTCCTGGGCCCCCTCCAGAGAAGGAGTGAAAGAGAGACGGAAAGAGTGAAAAAGTCCATGAAGAAAGAAAGAAAAAAAAGGGGACGAATTTGAAAGAAAGACAGAAAAAGAAAAGGGGATGAATAAGAAAGAAAGAAAGAAAGAAGAAAATGGCAGGAAAAGATGGGTGAAGGACGAAAGAGAAAAACTAAGAGAAAACGAAGCAATGGAAAAAGAAGAGAGTGGGAAAGAAAAGGCAAAGTGAAGAGAGAGGGTAGAAGGCTGAATGTGGGACGAATGAGTGAAAGACAGGAAGGAGAAAAGCAGAAGAATGAATGAAAAAGGAGCAAAAGGCAAAACAAGCGAACGCACAAACAGTGAATGCACAGAAGAGCGGAAAAATGTAGGAGGAATGGAGAAAAACGAGAGGAGAAAGGAAGAATGAAAAAGTCTATGATGGAGGAAAGCAGAACCCAGAATCAGTGGAAAGAAGAATGAAAAGGCTGAAGGGAGAAACAAAAAGAAAGCACAAACAAAAGAAAAAACAAGAGAATGAAAAAGAAAAGGAGAAGAGACGGGAAGGCGAACAGGAGGAATGAGAAATGAATGAAGAACTGAACAGACAAAGGAGAGAAGGAAAGAAAAGCAGAGGAACGAACGAAGAAGGCTGAACAGATGAAAGAGAAGAAAGAAGGAAAGTGAAGGGAAAGGAGAAGGAACATCACAGGGCTGAGGGGAAAGAGGAACGGAAGACGGGACAGAGAAAACCAGAGAGCAAAGGGATGAGAGGAAGAAAGAACGGAGAGAGGAAAACGGAAAGAAAAGGAGGAACGAGAAACTCAAGGATGAAAGGAAAAGAGCGGGAGAAATTAAGAGAGAGAAGGAGAAGAAAGACGGAAGGAAAAAGCAAAAGGGAACGAAAACGACTTGTCAGGGAAAGGAGAAAACCGACCCCAGAGGGAAGGGAGCTGGTGTGGGGTGGAGGGGGGGGAACTGGCACCCCAGACATACCAGCTCCAGCGCACCCGGCATCTCCTCCGGCAGCTCCTGGCGACAGAAAGACACAGATGGAGTCAGACCAACGCTAGGGGGCGCTGTGGGAGTGAAGCAGGGGGCTCAGCAGGGGGCGCTCTCCCCTGGCAGGAAGGGCTGACCCCAGGGCGGCGCTAGGGGGCACTGTGGGGCAGGGAGCGGGGCGGGGGCGATCTCCCCTGGCAGGCAGGGCTGGCCCCATTGCCCTATAACCCAGCCTAGATTCAGGGCGGTGTCTCCTGGGCATCTCAAGGTCTGGACCCGCTGCCGTCCCACCCTGTCCCCATGGCCAGAGAGGCAACAGCCTCCCGCAACCCAACACATGGGGAAACTGAGGCACAGGGTGGGGGGGGGCACGCACAGACCCTTCCATCCTGGAGGAGAAAGCACCCATGGCTGCAGCCAGCGGGTGGGGCGGGGAGATCACACATCAGATCAAGGCACAGGAGATGTGGGTGTGTTATTGTGGGTGTGTTTGGACAGTGTTGTATGTTAGAATGTTATGTGCTTGCATAATAAGTGTGTGTGGGTGTGTATAGTGGGGTGTGTTGGCAGAGCAGTGTGTGTGTGTATCAGTATGTGCGTGTGTAGCGGGAGGGTGTTTCCAGAGCAGTGCATGTGTGAGTGTAGTGGGTGTGCGTGTGTGTGTGTGTAGCAGTGTGTGCATTTGCAGAGCAGTGTGTGTGTGTGGCAGGGGGTGTTTGCAAAGCTCTGTGTGTGTTCGTGTATGTAGCAGGTGTGTGCAGAGCAGTATGAGAGCATAGTGGGGTGTGTGCTTGCGGAGCAGTTTGTGTGTGTAGCAGGTGTATGTTAGCAGGGTAGTGTTTGTGGGTGGGTAGCAGGGTGTGTGATTGCAGAGCAGTGTGTGTGTTTAGTGGTGTGGGGGGGTGTAGCAGGGGTGTGCATTTAGTGGTAGTGGGGGCTGTGTGTGTGTAGCGGTGTGGGGGCGGAAGTTGTTAGGTGGTGTGAGGGGCTGTGTGTGTAGCAGTGTGGTGTGTGGGGTGTAGGTGTGTGGGTTGGGGGGGTGTAGCTGTGTGTGAGGGCTGTTGTTTGGCGGTGGGGCGGGATTGTCTAGCCATGTGTGTATGTGTAGCAGGAGTGTGTTTGAAGAGCAGTGTGTGTGTTTGTGTAGTGGGTGGGTGTTTGCAGAGCAGTGTTTGTCTGTGTGTTTGTAAAGCAGTGTGTGTATGTGGTGGTGTGTGTGTATACACAGTAGTGTGTGTTTGTGTAGTGTGTGTGTGTTTGTAGAGCAGTGTGTATATGTGGTGGTGTGTTTTTGCACAGTAGTGTGTGCAGTGTGTGTGTTTGCAGAGCAGTGTGTGTGTAGTGGGTCTGTTTGCAGAGCAGTGTGTGTATGTGTGTGTGTATGTGTAGCGGTGTGTGTGTTTGCACAGCAGTGTGGGTGGGTGCATAGTGGGTGTGTGTTTGTAGAGCTGTGTGTGTGTGTGTAGCGGGTTGTGTGTCTGCAGAGCAATGTGTCTGTGTGTGTAGCAGTGTATGTGTTTGCACAGCAGTGTGTGTATAGTGTGTGTGTTTCTAGAGCAGTGTGTGTGTCTGTGTGTGTAGTGGCGTATGTTTGTAGAGCAGTGTGTGTATGTGGTGGGGTGGGGTGCGGGGTTTGTGTTTGCAGAGCAGTGTTTCTGTGTGTGTGTGTGTTTGTAGAGAGCTCTGTGTGTGTGTGTGTGTGTGTGTGGCAGGAGAGTGATTGCAGAGCAGTCTGTGAGTGTGTAATGGGGTATGCATGTGCAGAGCAGTGTGTGTGTGTGTGTGTGTAGGAGGTGTGTGTTTGCAGAGCAGTGTGTGTAGCTGTGGGGTGTCTGCAGAGCAGTGTGTGTGTGTAGCGGGTGTGTGTTTGCACAGCAGTGTGTGTGTGTGTGTGTGTGTTGGAGAGCAGTGACTAAGTGTGTATGTGTGTAGTGTGTGTGTGTGTGTGTTTCTAGAGCAGTGTGTGTGTTTGTGTAGTGGGGTTGTGTTTCTAGAGCAGTGTGTATATGTGACGAGGTGTGTGTTTCCAGAGCAGTGTGTGTATGTGGCAGTGTGTGTATTTTCAAAGCTGTGTGTGTGTGTGTGCGTGTGTGTGTGTGTAGAGCGGGTGTGTGTTTGCAGAGCAGTGTGTGTGTGTTTAGCGGGGCTTGTGTTTGCAGAGCAGGGAATGTGTGGGTGTGTTTGTAGAGCAGTGTGTGTGTGTGTGTGTGGCGGGTGTGTGTTTCCAGAGCAGTGTGTGTGTGTACTGTGTGTATGTTTGTAAAGCAGTGTGTGCTTATGTAGCGGGGTGTGTATTTGCAGAACAGTGGGTGTGTGTACTGGGTGTGTGTTTGCACAGCAGTGTGTATGTGTGTGTGTGTGTAGCGGGTGTGTGTAGCCATGTGGGGGACTCTGTGTGTGTAGCGGTGTGGTGTGTGTGTTTGCAGAGCAATGTGTGTGTAGCTATGGGGGAGGGGGCTGGGGCTGTGTGTGTGTGTGTGTAGTGGTTCGGGGGGGTGGTTGTTTGGCGGGTTGTGTAGCAATGGGGTGTGTGTGTAGCTCTGTGGTGTGCGTGTGTATAGCATTTGGGGGGTTGGCGATGTGTGTTGGGGGGGTTGTGTGGCGGTGTGTGTGTGTATAGCAGGGGGGCTGTTTGGCTATGTGTTGGGGGAGGTTGTGTAGCTGTGGGGGGGTTGTGTGGTGGTGTGTGTGTGTGTATAGGCGGGGGGGCTGTTTGGCGATGTGTGGTTGGGGGGTTGTGTGGCGGTGTGGTGTGTGTGTGTAGGCGGGGGGTGTGCGTGTGTATAGCATTTGGGGGGTTGGCGATGTGTGTTGGGGGGGTTGTGTGGCGGTGGGGGGGTGTGGAGTAGGGGGGGTGGGGGGGTGTGGGGGGGGGGGGAGGCGTTGTGTAA